AACCCAACTTAAGTACATTCTATAAATAAATAAGCAGAGGTATAAAAGGTGTTGCAGTGAATGTGATCTACTTGGATTTTGCTAAGGTGTTTGATACACACTGGGTTAGTGTTAAAAACTAAAGAAATTGGTCTAGATGAAAATACTCGTTCTTTGGTAGAACATTGGCTTAAAGAGAGAGTGCAGAGAGCTGGCATTAGTGGTACTTTTTCAAGCTAGACAAAAGTGGTAAGTGGTGTCATTCAGAGTTCTGTGCTGTGACCTCTTCTATTTTAAGTGATACTATGAGTGCCAGGAATACAAAACTGCATTCCTGACACTGTAGCTCCCTCTGCCTCCCTCACATCCCCTGCGGTGGTCAAAGGGTTAAAACCCATTTATTTAGTTGTCTTTTCCCAGTGCTGATGTCCCTTGGCACTGGAGTCAGCTGTGCATTATTGGGCACCTGTTATATGAAGGATATTATGGCACTAGAAAAAGTGCAAAGGCGGGCTACAAAATTAATAAAAGGAATGGAACATTTTAGTAATGAAGAAAGGTTAATAAATTGAAAATTCTTCTCATTATTACCAATACAAACCATTGTCTTGAAATCTAGTCATCAACAGAATTATACATAGGGCACAAGGTCACATATTTAGATTGGAAATAAGGAGATTTAGTATAAGGCAAAAGAAAGGGTTGTTAACAAAAAGAACAATAAGAATGTGGAATTCTCTGCCTGGAGAGGGGGTTTTATCAGCGTCTGTACAGATGTTTAAATAGCAACTTACATCCAAAAACATAATATTCAGGGATATAATTTTTAATTAGTGGGGTAACCGCTTCTTAATCCAAGCAGAGATCTGACTGCCATTTTGTGAACAAACAGGTATTTTTTCCTAGTTTGTTGTAAAATTGGAAGCACTTCAAACTGTTGTTTTTTTTTTTTTTTGCCTTCTTTTGGATCAACAGCAAAACCAGATGTGAGAAAGGCTGAACTTGATGGTCGCATGTCTCTTTTCAACTATGTAACAAACAGCACTCTCCTACACTCATAGATAGCACTCAGCCACCCACACACATCTAATTCACAGAACAGAGTCAGAGATCAAGGACCAATCTGGCGTCCTGCATAGGGCCTAGGGCAATCTTAAACCAGCAATGGGTATGTGAGTAGTTTTTAACATTGTATAAAGCCATTTCAGATTACATTCTAAATGTAATGAGATACAACTAAAATGTCTAAAAACAGATAGTGTTGTAAAGTAGGTGTCACATTTCAGCAAACAGATAATCTCACATTGCAAAGCATCTGTGTTAGTAATGTGATACTCATCTGTACGGCACAAAAAGCCTGACTTTCAAATGCCCCCTTATTCATGTATAGCATAAATAATTTGCTACAAAACTCAGCAGGCAAGACAATATAATACAAAATTGCAAGGCAAGCTATAGAAATAGATAACCTTTAGATGAAGTCACGATTAAACAAACCAGATAATGATCAGCAGAAAAATGATAATACTAAAGTTAAAATAAAACATAAAAAATTAAAACATTAATAAATAAAATACACAAGTACCAATATATGTAATAAACAATACGTCTTCTCAGCTAGATGATAATAAAAACAGCAATTACTAATGCAAACTACAGGATACAGTGGTAAACATGAGACCAAGACGGGTCTCTTTTAGTCTTTATTGTATTAAAAACAACAGTTGTATAACTATCTTCATAGAGAAAACTAGAATAAAACATGTATTACTCTGGGTAATACCTCATAAATAGAGTTGAGCAGACACCTGGATGTTTGGGTTCGCAGAGTTCGGCCGGACTTCGTAAAAAAGTTTGAGTTTGGGCTCGAACTTGACCCGAACCCCATTGAAGTTACATAGCTGAAAAGAGACTTGCGTCCATCAAGTTCAGCCTACAAGTCAATGGGGACTCGAACTTTTGGGCACTAAAATGCCTCTAAAAAAGTCCTGGAAAGGGCTAGAGGGCTGCAAAAGGAAGTAAAATGGGAGTAAGAGTAGGACAAGTGCCCTGCAAACAAATGTGGATAGATAAATCACTTAAAATAACACAAAATAACTAAAAAATAAAAAATACAGCTGAGCCATAAAATAGCACTAGATGGAATCTTTGATTTTAGCTTTGGAAGAACATAAATCAAAATCTAAAGCATGGCTGTCAGGAGGATCACCAGAATTATCCATTTGAGAAAGGGTTGGAGTGCAGGGTATTCTCTTTCATTGTTCAAACTGAGCTCAACTCCTGATGCATGGAGAAAAGGCCTTCACAAGAATCTGCTATTGTGTACATAGTTTATACTAAGTGACCCATAGGTTGAGGAGGCGGTGACCGTGGCAGTGTAGGTGGAAGCGGCGGTGGAGGAGGTAGCCAACACTGTTTTATTTTATTTTTTTATTTTTTTGTTGTTTTTTTTTTTAATTGGGGTAGCCCCCAAAATATTGGGACATATAAAAAAAAAAGAGACATTTGCGGCCTGTGGTGCATTTCTTGCAGTCCAATAACGCCATAAGGTTTTTAAAACTGTCTGTCTCCATCAGACGGAATGACAGCATTTCAAAGGCCAGGAATTTTGAAATGCTGGCATTCAGAGCCAGTGATCGCGGGTGGGTAGGGGGTACTTCCTCTTTCTCTCCAGTGTTTTGGAGATGGACAGCTGAACACTTCCATGGGACAGTGTGAAGATGCTGGACAATTGTGTACCTGGCCTATGCTGGTGCAGGAACCCACACTTCGAGCAACTTGTGAATGACTGGCCTGATAACAGTGGAAATGACCCCTCTTACTCCTCCTCTTCCTCCCGTGCCACATCCTCTTCCATCATCGCCCAAAGCGCTTTTTCAAGGAGACAAAAAAGCGGGATAGTAAGGCTGAGAACAGCGTCTGGCCATGCTGGTGGAGTACTCGAAACAGCGCAACATGACACACAGGTCTCACATGGAGGCCCACTCATTGGTTCCGCAGAGCGACTGACCCGTGCGTGCTGCAGCTGAAACTCCACTATCGCCTGCTGCTGCTCGCACAGTTTCTCCAGCATGTGCAAGGTGGAGTTCCACCTTGTGGGCACGTCGCATAAGAGGCGGTGAGCGGGAAGGCTGAAGTTACATGGAGTGCAGACAGGCGAGCAGCAGCAGGGTGAGAACGCCGAAAGCGCGCACTGACGGCCCGCACTTTCTGCAGCAGCTCTGATATATCTGGGTAGTTTTTCAGGAATTTCTGCACCACCAAATTCAGCATATGCGCCAGGCAAGAGATGTGCACCAAACCTGCTAGGCCCAGAGCTGCTACGAGATTTCGCCCATTATCGCACACCACCAGGCCGGGCTTGAGGCTCAGGGGCAACAACCACTCATCGGTCTGTTGTTCCATGCCTGTCCACAGCTCCTGTGCGGTGTGGGGTTTTTCCCCCAAACATATGAGTTTGAAAACAGCCTGCTGTCGTTTCCCCTTGGCTGTGCTGAAGTTGGTGGTGAAGGTGTTACGCTGAATGGATGAGGAGGAGGTGGTAGAGGAGGAGGAAGCGGAGTAGGAGGAAGAGGCAACAGGAGGCAAAGCTGTGTACAGTTGTATCCTGGAACTGTGTCTCATCTGGTTACTGGGGAAATGGGTCTGACCTATTCTAATCAAAGGGGATAACCATCGGTTACCCAGGTCCCGCTTCAATTGGTGGCAAGCGGCGGAATCCCATGTCCCTGCCAGCAGACCCATGGACTACAGTGCTCTAAAGCGACCTACACTGCAGGACTTGTGTGGAGCCAGAGGAATAACGCCTGGTGGGCGTAACAAGGCCAAATTGACTGCTGCACTCATGGAGGACGACCAGGAATGCAGTGAGGCAACGAACCCCAGCCAGGGGCCGTAGATGAGGAGGAAGTGTGCAAGGAGGTGGACCAGCATCTGGCATATTACCGAGAGCCACCCTCAGAGGAGATCGTCAGCAGGAGGTGCAAGCCTATGTCCTTGCCAAAAGACAGAGGGAGACCTCCATGAACCCAGATGAAGGAAGAAGGGAGCAGAGGGCGCCGGGAAGCACAACCCCCGGCCCACAAGCTATCATACAATGCTTTCAAAGAGTTCAAGGAAGCAGAAGAAGGCATTGATGACTTTTTACACGACTTTGAGCACCAGTGCCTACTCCAAGACGTGGACCCCAGCGACTGGGTCACCATCCTGGCCAGCAAACTAGTGGGGAAGGCAGCGGATATTTACTGGGCTGTACCCTTTATTACACAAATCCTCCTGGCCCGGTATGCAGTCACGCCCAAGCAATACCGCCAAAAGTTTAGGGAGACCCTGAGAGGGGAGAAGGACTCCCATGCAGAGTGGGCATGCCGCATCACAAGGGCCACCCAGAACTGACTCAACTACCATCAAGCCAAGTTCCCGGAGGAGATCACCCAGCTCGTCATGCTAGAGCACTTTTTCAATGGGCTCCCCAACGACACACCTGGTGAGACTGCCAGCCCCAGACCCAAGAAGTATTGGTATGGGCTGCTGAAGCTAGCTCACGATATCCCCTTGGCAGGGCATTTGGGCAGGAGCCGGACATCGTCTCAGCACACACAAAGCTTCTGGCCAGCTTGAGGCGGTACTGCCAGATGTCTGCCAGAGAGTGGGGAAGAGAAGGGACCGGCACAGGGCCCCCCTGGCCCACAAGCTACCATACATTCTGACCATCGTGGAATACGCGACTCGGTAGCCTGAGCAGTATTTGGGCAGAGACTGTGCCTGAAGCCTTGATGCAAGTGTTCTCCCGGATGGGTTTTCCCCCAGGAGATTCTCTCAGACCAGGGCACCCAGTTTACTGACGAAATGACCCACCAACTGTGGAGATTGTGCACATTAAACCAATCCTGAGAGTGCTTCAACGGTACGTTGAAGCAAATGCTCCATACCTTTGTGGTGACTTACAAGGATTGAGAGAGATTCCTGCCCCATCTCATGTTTGCCTATCGGGAGGTGCCACAGGAATCGACTGGTTCTCCTCGTTCGAACTGCCATGCCAGGGAACTCCTTGGAGCTGGCTTTGGTGTGCTCGGTCCCTGGTTTCGGTGGGAAGTAGCAGGCGTACTGTCTAGGGGACGGCTGCTCCTCTTTTGCACCCTGCTCTAGGAGGAGGAGGTGGATGTGGAGTAGGAGGATGATACGACTCATTCATATGTCTGCCCTATCAACTTTCGATGTTACTATCTGCGCCTACCATGGTGACCACGAGTAATGGAGAATCAGAGTTCGATTCCGGAGAGGGAGCCTGAGAAATGGCTACCACATCCAAGGAAGGCAGCAGGCGCGCAAATTATCCACTCCCGACGCGGGGAGATAGTGACGATAAATAACAATACAGGACTCTTTCCAGGCCCTGTAATTGGAATGAGTCCACTTTAAATCCTTTAACGAGGATCTATTGGAGGGCAAGTCTGGTGCAGAGCGACTGACCCGTGCGTGCTGCAGCTGAAACTCTGCTATCGCCTGCTGCTGCTCGCACAGTCTCTCCAGCATGTGCAAGGTTGAGTTCCACCTTGTGGGCACGTCGCATATGAGCCAGTGAGCGGGAAGGCCGAAGTTACGCTGCAGCGCAGACAGGCGAGCAGCAGCAGGGTGAGAACGCCGAAAGCGCACACAGCCGCTACAGTGAAACTGCGAATGGCTCATTAAGTCAGTTATGGTTCCTTTGATCGCTCCATCTGTTACTTGGATAACTGTGGTAATTCTAAAGCTAATACATGCCGACGAACGCTAGGGGACGGCTGCTCCGCTTTTGCACCCTGCTCCCTCTTATGCTGTGCTGGTGCCTCTGTGCGACCACCGCTTCTTCCTCCATACTGCACACGTCACTCACGTGACCTTCATTCCATTTGGGGTCTAGGACCTCATCATCCACCACATCATCTTCCACCCACTCCTCAATCCTGCCCTCCTTGCCCATATGCACACTGCAGAAAGCCACAGCAGGTGGCACCTGTGTTTTTCCAGCATGTAAAGTCTGCAAAGGACATATGGAAATTGTTTTAGAATTGTATCCAGGCAATAGTTTTCCCTATAAACTGACCTCTCAGTTTGACTTGTGAGGGTATTGCCCCAGAATTACAATATTGTTTAAGTACCTCTTAGCTATTGATAACTGGTTTAAATATAGTGTTACAAAGGACTCGAAATGACTCCATTATTGTTATTACATGTTGTTACTGTTGCAGCCCTATACTTTTAACACGGGGAAACACGAATGGATTATACGAATTCTTATAAAGACCCATTCGTGATACGAACGAGAGACCCCCCCCAAACGCTGGCGTGTGCTGCGAATTAACCTCTTCACCCCGCAAAGTACCGAATGGCCGACCACCCGAAGAGCAGAGTGTGGCGCCCATTAAGCACCCAGGTGGCTGCGGTTAACCACAAACTAATTGACGGGCAAGGAGGATCGACGTTCACCCACAAATCACCGAAAGGGAACTACCGAATAACCTCACGAACGGAGACCCCCTACAGTGGGTCGTGTGTCAGCAATTAGCCTGTGGTTGCTGCGGTTAACCGCAACTCAAGTACCGTGCTACCAGGTGGTCCTAATTCATGTACCGAACGAGTTCCACTACCAGACAGACAGCGGGGATTCGCATGAACTTATACCCGAGTTCAGTTCCATAAGTTGGAGGCGAGGTCCCGCTGCTCGTTAAACCGTCTAAAAACATGGCCGCCATCAGGGACTCATGATCCAAAATACTGAACGGGCTTTATACGGCAGAAATAGATCATTCTGTTCGTGGGATTGGAGCGCCATTCGTATGTTTAATGTACCCGAACGTGAGCTATTGAATGAATGGTAGAATGTACCGTTTTCCCCTATTAATGTTGAAGTTATGTATTTTTATACAGTTTTATGAGGCATAATAAAACGTGGTCTTTTGTGCGCTTGGAGATAATTAGATTGTATAACCGTTGGCCTCATTATCTCCAAGCTGGGCGGGTACTAATTCAAACGATACACTGTACTGTGATTGGTTACCTGTTTGTACTGTACCTGTATTCCATCAGGTCCACAGGGGGCTGTCCTTGGACCTGAGGAATTGCATAAATTGCCATGTTTGTGTGCCAGTAAAATCAGTTCGTTTTGACCCTCAACTTGCAGCCTCGACTCATGTTGTAAGGATCCGGGATATTAATGCTTATATCATGTTTGGGATACTCTACACTTGCAGCTTATTACCGAAGGAACTCCATTCGACTCTCTACAGCGGGAACCAGGACATCCAAGCGATCAACCCCCCTGCTAGATCGGGGGCAATTGTAACATATAGCAGCTTGTTATCTGGTAGTTTCTAGTGTAGAAAATATCAATCTGTTTTCTATCACTTAGATCTGTTTAACAAGTGTTGTAGGTGTGAAACAATATTACAAGTGACCGATGTAGTAAATTCGAATCAAAGTTCCAATTGCCAAAAAAAATTCTCGCCCATCTTCTGTGGGTTATTGCATTTTTAAGATGTAGACTTATTGTATCACACTAGCCATGCACGGTAGATTGTCTGGCACGTTGTTTTGGTGTTTGGTTTTTAACTTTGTAGTTGTGTCTTTACACAATATAGAAATGTATATTAATGCTTCTGTATATGAAGCGATCACAATAACGCTTATTTTTCACTTTTTTAAAAAGTCTTTAGACTTTCTTGAGAAGCGGTAACTAGCCAGTGTTGCACAAATACACCAGAGTTGAAATGCACACCCCAAATGTACTTTTTAGCACCCAAAAAATGTGAATTAGTCAAACTGCAAATCACATCAGTATTTAACGGTTCTATTTGACTCTCAGATATGAAGTGCAGGCCCCAAATTTACTTTTTAGCACCAAAAAAATAAGAATTAGGAAAACTGCAATGTCACAGCAGTATTTGACAGTTCTATTTGACTCTCAGGCCGCAAATGTACTATTTAGCAGCAAAACAATTTGAATTTTTAAAACTGCAATGTAAGCACAGTATTTGGTTCTATTTGACTCTCAGATATGAAGTGCATGCCCCAAATTTACTTTTTAGCACCTAAAGGATTTGAATTTTTAAAAATGCGCTGTAAGCACAGTATTTGACGGTTCTATTTGACTCTCAGATATGAAGTGCACCGCAGGCCGCAAATGTATTATTTAGCACCAAAAAGTTAGATTTTTTTTTTTTAAACCAACAATGTAACAGTAGTATTTAAGGGTTTTATTGGACTGCAAGAAATGCAGTACGCAAATGTACTATTTAGCACCAAAAAAATTGCAGTATTTAAAAATGCGTAGATGTTGCCCACTGAACTACCAGAACAGGATTAAAGTAATATGCCTTGCACACATGCATTTGCAAGTGCACTGCACTCTCTATGGCACTGGGCTCAGGGCAGGGTACAAAAATGTAGTATAGTACCCACAAAATAATCGCTGTAGTTTGAATTATTGCTGTAGTTTGCAGATTCAACACGAGAATTCTTTCCTAATCTATCCCTCACAGCTGCAGCATCCTCTCCCTACACTAATAAGAACTCATGTGCGTGCGGTGCAACGCGACTCCAGCTTATATATAGAGGCTGGGTCACATGCTGCACTGGCCAATCACAGCCATGCCATTAATAGGCATTGCTGTGATGGCTTCTAAGGGCACACGAGTCAAACGCTTGTTGATTGGCTGCCCTGCATCCTTTCAAAATGTGCCATTAAATCGCCTGATACCGAACTCCAACCCGAAACATACACTGATATGTCCGTGTTCGGGTCCGGGGTCCAAAAAACTTAATGTTCGGTACGAACCTGAACTTTACAGTCCGTGTTCGCACAACTCTACTCATAAAAATAAAAATCTACTCTCAACAATAATCAGTCCGGTTGCAACAAAGTCAGAATCTCTGCACCTCTAAACCTCTAGTCAATAAAATACATAAGCACTTACAGAATAGGGAAAGATTCTTAGTGTTTGTTGAGGATGTGTTGAGCGATTAATGTGACATTGTGGCACACATCTCAGCCTTGTAAACCCTGGACTCTTAAATGATCCATGGATCCAGTTTGGAACCTGTTGGATTTCCAAATCTCTCAGAATCTCTGGCGCATTGAGTGTGGCGAAAGTAACCTCGCCACTGGCTTTTGGAGGAGCCTGTTTGCCAGCCTCCTACCCTGTGACTATGGCCCCTGTAATAGACTTTGGTTGAAGATACTGGTTAAAGATACTGTTTGTGCCTTTTTCAACTTGGACAGTAACCCTTTGAACTCCCGAACTCTTAAAGCCATTCGAAGCAGCACACGAACATGTAGTGGAAGCCATCCTGTTAAGTTGAATGCATCCAGTGGAATTTGATCGTCGAGTGCATGGAACTCAAAACGGACACTCGACTGCGCGAACACCACTAAACTATTACCTTCCATGGATGTTCGGCTATTCGAACGGGAGTCAAACGGTGTTCCTTGGGAATAAGCTCCCGAATCATAGACTAAGTGCCATAAGAACTCTCTACATTAGGTATTTTGGACATTACTTAGAATCCCTGAAGTAGACCGGCTGTACAGTCTGATTCTCTGTAACTGTTTGGGGCATGGGACCATGCGTGCGGTCAGTCAAAATGTGACTTGAATCCCTGAACTGATCTGGGTGATTTTTGGATATGTTGGTCACCCAAATCAGGGCTATCAGGGGATGTGCCATTTGTGAGGATCTTATGTGTTTTGGGGTACTTTTGGGACTTTGAAGAAAGTGTGTGTTTTTTCTGCCTCAAGATAATTGGGTTAATACAGTATCTGACTCAATTATCTCCCAGGCACACATGCTATGTGTGGGAGTGTCGTGCATTGGAATACTGTTCTTATTGGTCTATGAATATTGTCACTCAGTACCCCACAAGGTCCATGTGGGTGTACCCCTTCATGGGGATTGTCCTATAAGGCCAAGTGTGGCACCATTAAAATCAGTTCCTCTTCACCCTCAACATAGAGACTCGTCTCATGTGTGGAGGGGACAGCTATATTCACTCTGGGGATTGCTATACTCCTTATACTCCCTGGGATTACAATGACTAGCTCTTATAAATAGCTATTCCTGCTATGCTCTCTGGAGTAGGAGAGGTTCACCCACTTGAAGCTGGATCCTGGTCTTGGGTCCAGGGTGGGTGGAGGACAGCGAAACACCAACCAAGCTGCTATGGTTTGTGGGATCTATGGTGCTGATGGTATATGGTGGAGTGCATGGAGTCATCAGTGAGCACTAGGAGCATCGATTAGCAGAGGCACCATATCATGGTGCCAGGAGGTCCGTCACAGAGAGATTTCATAAGTGTGCTATGAGACACCTTGGTGGACAAGGACCTCCT